GGGAAACACTGATCTAAATCAGGTTTTCAGATTATCTTTTCAAATCGTCAAGCCCATAAATCTTAATTTCCAAATGCGGTCTCATGCAACCCTGTTGTCCGCTCGTCATGGAAGCAGATCTGACCCCCCCCCACCCCCCCACAGTCCACCACCCAAGCCCCAACAAGAGGTCCCCAGAGGAGTGTCTGAGTCGCTGTGCTAGACTGGCGGACTCAGTTGGCATCCACAGATCTGGGTCAAGGCCAGGGTCCCTCACCCACATATACTACCTACTGGGTCCTTGTTTAAAGCCTTCCTCCATCGTGCCACCGCCGAATGCTGGCCTGGTGACCGTGGCCCGGTGCTGCACAGATTCCCCATCTGCCAAATGGGGATCACAGCCACCCAATGTCATGGGCTCTCCGTGAGGATCCGTGAGAGGATGTGAAGGCCTCCCCAGGGGCTGGCACAACTATGTGTTCTCTTGTTGTTGCTTTTTTCTTATTATCATCCTAGTTGACGTCATCTAGCTTCTCTCAGATCTCTCTAGGGATAGATAGCCCACACCCCTAGCCCTCTGGTTCTCACTCACTTAGTCGTTTAGCAGGCAGCCATGGAGGGACCCCGGCGTGCCAGCATCACGTACAGCAGACGGGAGCCCCGCCCAGCCCTGCTCCATCCTCACAGTTGTTGTTGCATCTGAGCCTACCATGGCCACCGCGGTGTCAGTCCACCTTGTTGAGGTCCTTCCCTTTTTCCCTCGAGGAAAGGATTTTGTAGAGTGATGATGCTTGTCATAGGATAATGACTAGCCAGTGGTCAGTCAGAGGAACGAACGAGGAACCTAACAAAGAGTTTCTAAATGGGACTGGACTGGCACGATGTGTGAGAAAATAGAACTCATTCATTCCTCTTCTCAAACCTGGGTCCCGGGGTCCCAGGACCCTCAGAGGTTAGCATGGTAGGGGCTTTCTGTGATAAAAGGGAGGTGGGTGGCAAGCCTCAGGGTCCTGTCAGGCCCTTCACCTCCATGCGGGTATGGCTCTCCTGGCTCACCCCAGCATTCCCTCCACTGGCACACATTGCTAATACCAGGACAGTAGGGCCACTAGGAGCCTGTGCCAGGGGCTATTGCTCCATCAGTACAGCAGGCATCCCAAACTGCATCCGAGAGAGCAGCCCATTGATGCATGGGTCATGCTGGGAATTCATTATGATTTCACTGGGGAAGGTGGCACGTGGTCCAGGTGGAGCCCTGGGCCTGGAGCTCAAGCTGCACAGATATGGAGGAGGATAGGAAGAGGCTGCCCTGAGGACGCAGGGGCTTCCTGCGGGGAGGGGGTGTTGAGAACCGCTGGGCCCTGAAAGGGAGAACATTTTGGAAGGTTGGGAATAGACTGAGTGCTCTGGGACATGGGGATAGGCCATGCGGGGAGGGGACTGTCCCTCCAGGCCAGAGGAACAGCTCGCTGAGGAGATAGGAACCTCTTTATTTTACAGCTAGACGTCATGATTTTCCCAGTGTCAAAGCCATATAAATGGTCCAACCCGGCCTTCCATTCTGGCCTCCTGGCAGCTAATTGAGTGATGCAGGCAGCCTTTGAGTGGCCCTGGGTCTTACCAAGGTGCTGAGCACCTGTGCCATCACAACTCCAACAGCCCCCGCGGTCTCAGGAGCCCAGTGCTGAGTCTCCTTCTTCCTCCTCACAGGAAACCTTTCCCCATTGGAGACAAGGTGACCTTCAGTGGGAAAGAGTGTGTGTGCCAGACATGCTCCCAGTCCATGACCAGCAGTAAGCCCATCAAGATCCGTGGACCAAGCCGTGAGTTCTCCCCACTGGGCACCCTCCTGTGCGGGGTGGTGGTGATGGGGGGGGGGGTTTGTCTCTCTGGGACCCCCTGCTCCTGACATTAGGTAAAAGGGGCCGTCCCTCCCCCTCCTGCCCTTGCACCTGAAACATGACCCAGTTGGCAGATGACCCAGCCTCACAGAATGAGCTCCTGCACACGCCCCCTCCCCCCAATCACCAACACAGGGACAACAGGCTGCTGGCTTGAACAGAGAGGGCCTGAGCCACTGGCCCACCATGTGGGCACTCTCTTCTGGGATGAGCTGAGCTCCTGATCTTGTCTCTCTTCCTGGATCCAGGCTCCCAACAGCACCCCTCCCAGAGAGGGCCAAGGGTTCCTCCCACTAGTGTGTCTCCGTTCTCACCAGTTCCGTCACAGAGATTTGCAGACTTCTCTGACAAAGGGAAGCAGAGGGGCTGCGGGTCAACCCCACAGGCTGTGCCTGCGTCTTTTAGAGTGTGCACCCCAGGGCTTGGGGATCCTGTCCAAACAGCTTTCTGGGCCCATCTTGGATCTCAAAATCTACACTCTTAGTGAGCATGCCCCCCCTGGGACTCATTTGCTATACCTAAAATAAAACGGAGCCCTGTGACGCTGTGGTTATGAATCGGGCTGCTCATCAGAAAGTCAGTAGGTCAAACCCACCAGTGGTTCCACAGGTGCAAAAGGAGGCTTTCTATGCCTATAGAGATTCAGGGTCCCTAAACCCACAGGAACAGTTCCACTCTGATCTGTAGAGTTACTGTGAGCCCAAATCAACTTCATAGCAGTGAGTGACGATGGAGAATCACTGTGGGGGGAGGAAGGGAGCCTAGACCAGGCCACGGAGAACGTTAGCTTTGATCACGCAGATTTGGAAGAAAATGGCAGTTTTCTGAGCAGGCTGAGCATTCTGGTTTGTGAAACGTCCGCTCCACTCCAGTGTAGCTAGAGATAAAATGCCCAACCCTCTGCGCCCAGATGCCCTTGTGAGCTGCCAGCTGCGCATGCGTGCCACAGGTAGCCCTGCCCCCTGGGCCTCAGCACACCACGCGCCATCATTCATTCATGTTATATGACACTTGCTGGCCTCGGGGGCGGAATCGATGAAAACCCATTAGCCTGCTGTGCTGCATCCCCATGCTGTGGGTGGGCAGGAGGGGGTCTGCCGGCCCCAGCACCCGCAGAGTCAGCATGCTGGGACTGCCTCCAACTGAGGGAGTGAGCAAAGAGCCCCGAGTCAGCAGAGCTAGGCTCCTAGGAGTCCCATTACCCTCCACCAACCAATGGCATGCATGCTGGGGAGAAAGACTGTGGGAAGGCTCCTTCTCGCGACCTTCCTTTCCGTTGAATCAGCCCTGCTCTTCCTTCTGCATCCTTGGGGATGCTCAGCAGCCGTCACCCAGTTTCCATCGCAAGGTGGCTGAGGACTTGCGCGGTTCTGCTTTGTCCCTCCTGGGAAGCGTCCCGCCGAAGGACCGCCAGGGAGGACGTGGAGAACTGCAGAGGAGGCAGACACCTGCAGGACTCTGGGAGAGGACAGAGACAGAGGCCTGCTGGGAATCCGGGAGCTGCCAGCCTTCATGTGAAGCCAAACAGGTCCTGGGACTCGGTTTACCCAGCAATAAAAGAGGGTGGAGCCGCTGCTGTTTTCTTCCCTCACAGAGGTGTTGTAGGAAGCAGATGTGAGTTAGACTACAGGAGTCGAACTCCCAAGCTGGAGCGCATAAAATATGCTCCCAACAGGAAGTGGAGGGCGTGGTCGACCAGCAGAGTTAATCAACAAAGTAGCCAACCAACGACGACGAAGAACAAGATGTCTGAATCCATCGTCGTTTCTCCCCGCTTGTGCCACTTAATGACTGTCCAAGGAGTGGAACCTCCCCTCCACTGGGACTGGGGCTTGTGTGGGAACGCCTCCAGGACATGTCATTGTCCCAGGAATGAAGGCGAGGGAGAAACCGCTGTTGTCTTTAAATCATTGAAAGTGGTAATGTGTTCTTGGTTGTATTGAAATAGGAGTGAGTTGCAAGGAGCCAGATCTCAGCTCCATATAAAGAAGACATTCTTAATCAGACCTGTTAGAAAAAGTCTGAGGTCCCTAACTGTCTCCGACCCTAATTGTGAAGAGGAAGAGTCGATCAAGGGAGCTGGAGGTTATAATGTTGAGTGAAAAGGAAGAAGTGAGCCAACAGGCAGTTTCCAGGAGGAGTGCCTAGTACTATTCTCAAAGAAGACATCCACCTGCAGGATCTAAAGGGCATGTGTTTCACAGAAATGTCTCCACTGCAGAGTGTCAGTGTTCAGGCTGCAAAGGCAAGTTAGTCTCCTGGCCAGAAGAGATGTTGGAGGGTTTTCGGAGTTCCCAAGGGGAACTGGGAACCAAAACAAGACAGAAGAGGTTGCTAAAAGGAAAAGAAGCACAGGTTCAAGTCCCCCCTTGAAAGTGAGTAAAGACATTCTGGAGACAAAAGAGCAGTCACTAGTCAACAGAGACCCAGAAGAATACTTAGGAACTGTCAAGAGAAGATAATCCTGTTTCCACAGAAAGAAGGAAGGTTTCCTTATGGACCTGATTGAAAAAACTCTGTAGCAGCAGCAGCATCACCACCATCCCAATCACCATCTCCGCCATCATCGCTCCCCCATCCCATCACCGCCATC